AGAGCACGACTGAAGGCAGTGTTGTTGAAGCTGGACATACTCAGATCAAGAAAACACTTCGTATCTGGCTGCAATTCAGGTCTGCGACTCAATGCATCCGCGATTCCGTTCTTCGCACCAGGAAGATACGAAAACGTGGGTTGGTACTCAGCAAGAATGCCGTACCACCTAGCCAATCGGCGGTTAGCCATATTCTGTGTGAACAACCCTTCGAGACTTTTGTGATCAGTCTCGACGATCGGTGGCTTGTCAAAGCAGTAAATTCGAAAAATTGCTAGCGCGTGCACGACAGCAAGTAGCTCCTGATGCTGTATTGGATAGTTGAGCTCATCTTTCGACTTGTGTACGCAATGGGTTGCTCAACTCCGTGCACGACTTGGAATAATACTCGACGAACGGCGAATTTGCTCGCACCAGTGCGCAAATTCATGGGCTGGCTGAAGTTAGGAAGGTGCAACACTGGAGGATTGCACACTCGCCCCTTCAGCACCTTGAAATTCTTCATCATTGAATTGGATCTTCGCGTTCCTCTTGTTCTTCTTCTTCAAGAGAGTGAACATTGTTGCAGTGCTGCGTAGTCTGGACAAAATCGTTGGACATAACCAGTCAACCCAAGGAAGCTGTGAAGTTCCTCTTGTGCTCGTGGTACTGGCCAGCCCTTGATGGTTTGTACCTTGTCCGAATCCATCCGTACACCGTTGCGTCCTACAAAGTCCCCGAGACACGTAATCTCGTCGGCACAGAAGACACTCTTGGCAAGCTTGACGTAGAGCTTGTTGTCACGCAGGATATCCAGTGTCTTGCGCAACGCCTCCAAGTGGTCGTCGATGTTCTGAGACTTCGTGATAACATAGATGTCATCGTAAAACGACTTGGTGTTTTCCAACCTTGGAACAGCTTTGACGTTAAACGATGGATCGTCGCTGGCGCATTACAGACTCTCATGGGCAGAACAAGATACTCCCAGAGTCCATTTGGCGCTTGGAATGTTGTGAACTTGATATCCTCTTTACGCATACGTACTTGATAGTACGCGGACATCAAATCCATTGTGAAAAACCAGTACGTTCTGAACATGGCGTCGAGGATGTCCTCCTTCCTCGTCATTGGGATACTGTGGCTTACAATGTTGGAGTTCAAGTACCGGTAGGCGTGTACGATTCTCCGGCCAACTGGTTTCCGTTAACAGAAGGTTGGAGCAGCACATGGACTGATGCTCGGGCGAATGAGCTTCTTCTTCACCATGTCTACAACCCAACGTACAATCTCGCGCTGATGCTCTGGCGATTGACGCCACTGTTGCCGATACATTGCGAGATTCAGATCCTTCACGTCAATCCTATGCTCAATCCCGCGTTTCTCAGGTAAACCTTCCGGGGGTTCAGGACGGAACACATTGTCCATATACTCCGTGAGTAACTTGTACGTTGGATTCTCCTTGAAGCTATCCGAGTCCGTATCCAGATACCGTTGTGCTTTCGCACTTCCAACGTTGTCGGGTTGATCTTGCCGTTGCAGTGA